GGCAAGACCAAATATATAAAGTAGACAGAAAATGAGAAGCCATATAAATCAGGAAGGGAGTGTGTCAGGGATGCATCCTATCACCATACCTTTTCAATCTACATGCCGAACAGAACATCTGGGAGCCTGGGCTTTATGAGAAAGAATGTGGCATCAGGACTTATAAACAACCTATGTGATGCAGATGATAAAACCTTGCTTGCTGAAACTCAGGAGGACCTGAAGCATTTATTGCAGAAGGTCAAGGACTACTGCATTAAATATGGATTGAAGCTCAACATCAAGAAAACAAAGATTCTCAGAACTGGGCCAATTGACAGCTTCATGATGGATGGGTTGTTAACAGCTTTAAGTTATTTGACTCCACAATCAACACTCTTGGTACCAGCAGCCAGAAAATCAAAAGACAAACTGTATTGGAAAAGTCGGCTGTCAGGTATCTCTCCAGAGTACTGAAGAGCAATGATGTCAGTCTGGAGACTAAGGTGCACCTGATCAAAGCCATAGTCTTTACAATTACTTGCTATGTGTCAGAAAACTGGACAATGACTAGGGATGAGAGAAGAAGAATTGATGCTTTTGAGCTGTGGTGCTAAAGAAGGGAACTGAATATACCATGGACTACTAGGACAAACAGGTTCATCCTAGAGAGGGTGAAACCAGGCTGCTCTTTGGAGACAAGGACTCTGAAACTTCATCTGACATATTTTGCACATGATGCAAGGAGTGACCAGTCCTTGGAGAAGGACATCATGCTTGGGAGGGCAGAGGGACAGCACAAGAGAGAAAGATCCTCGATGAGATGGATTGACTCAGTGACTGGAGTTATGGGTGTAGGTGTGTCAAAGACAATTAGGTTGGCACAGGATAGAGCAGGGTTCAGAACTGTTGTACACAGGGTCATTATGAGTCACAAGCGATTTGATGACACATAAAACAACAAAAATCAACTCAAGGGCGCTCTAGTGGTTAAGAAGCTGCACTGCAATCCCAAAGGCATGTGGTTAGAATCTACCTACTGCTCTGTGGGACAAAGATGGGCAATCTCCTCTCATGCGAGTAACTGCCTCTGAAAACCCGCTGGAGGGTCAGCTATGGGTCAGTTCCAACTCAAATGTACACAACAACAATCAACCTTTTCCTGTCACCCAACTTAACTGCTTATTAATTTTTGCTCCCCCTCACTCACTCCTTTCTCATCCCTATTAGACTTCAAAGGTTGATTCTAACTGCATGTAACCCTTTCCTTAGCTTTTTAGAATGGTGGTCTTATATAACATTTGTCCTTTTGCGAATGACTTATGCCACTAAGCATAATGACCTCTACATGTAACCATGATATGCAGTGTTTTGGAAACTCTGTATTGCTCTTTAGTGTTGCACAGTAAGTACTCTATTTTGCGAATGTATGATCATTTCTTTAACCGTTCATCCCATGATGAACACTTGGGTTTTTTCCATCTCTTTGCTACTGTAAATAAGGCTACATCAAACATGGGCATACATATCTCTGCTTCTGTTGTTACTAACACGGTCGTCAATTTAAAAGTGTGCGGCAGCTCATTTCACGCCAGTCAAAATAGCAAAATTTAACAGAACAGCAAGCAACAAATGCTGGCGAGGTTGTGGAGAAACTGGAACCCTGATTCACT